TTCCAAAGGAGGCTGTCAAATTGATTGATATATTATTTTTTTTACCGAATTAGAGTCAAATTTTTCTTGCAAGTTTATCTGCTTGACAAAGGTACTCAAAAAAGAATAATCGAAAGGTGGCTTCTTGGTCTTTCCATTTTTGTTTTGTTTTGTTTTTTTTTTTTTTTGTGAAAAAAAAATATTATCTACACTAAGGGAGCAGAGGTGGGCTTAGCCTCACAATAGGCTAGTAATAATATGGTTTAATTTCACCTTTGGCAATAATCGAATTTAAAACCTTTCACTTACAAATGAAGAGGAATACTACTAAACTATAGTACTAACGGGCCGTCTTTCCTCTTCTTTTGGGGTTGATGAAGTAATCAAACTCCATAGCCAGATTGGTACATTAATTATCTATCTTAATTAGTTTTTAAATCTCTAACATCGCATTCTTATTCGAATAAGAATGTAATTGGTCCCCAAAGTCAATGGGAGAGGACCTTGAGAATCGGCTGTGTCCTTGTATACAAGGAGAAATTATACAGTGGTACTGTGAAAAAAATTGTTCTTGAATAAAAAGTTTGTTAAACAACATTAACAACATGCCTTGAGCTTAGGGATCAAAAATAATTTTGTAACCCTACCATGAGTATTTTGGTTATTTTACATAAAATGGAACGAAAATATATTAGAAGTTAAGAACGGGTCGTAGCACTGCTTGTGCAGATACAGATAAATTGATTAACGTGACAGACTTCTAGATCCTCTTTCTATGGAAGAACCCTGCATATACTTCCTCAGCTGCTCCAAATCCTACCATTTCATTCAAAGGCCATGTGTGGTATCAACTTTTTATCAGAAGAGAGGTGTCAGTAAGGCCCAGTGAAATGGTATGATCACACAAAAATTTGGAACTCTGCAAATCTAGAAGGGCCATAGTGTACCAGTGTTTCCTTCCCTTGTGTATTCAAAAAGAGTTAATACAAACTCTTGATGAAGAGTTACTGCCCAAATAAAATAGAGTACTTTTTCAGTTTTGTATTGAACAATGAGTACGCGGATTATTCATGTTTGGGTGGAAAATATGGCTACTCATTCAAAGAAAAAAAAAAGGAATGCGATATGAAGTGTTGCTGTGTTTGAAACAGTGAATGAATTGGTCCAACGGCAACTTAACCTAGTTGATTGGAGATTCCACGATTTAGGTTTAATAGGTAAACTAGTTTGGCATGATTCAAGGACATTAACATACAACATGCCTCATTCGTATGGTGGAAGAGTGTCATCTGCTGAAGTAATTAGGGTACTTATGTTTAATGATGCTGACATCTTGTAATCAAGAGGAATAGAACAGATTATTCTTAATCAATGTCACCTATGTGAGAGTAAATTTGCAGTCTCATTTAGGAACTCGACATATCGCATCTGCTCGTTTTTGGTTGTGTGGTCTATGTGTTAATTTCGCCGCCCTTACGTACAAAAATGGGGCCTCAGCGAAGGATGGGAATCTATGTTAGATATGATTCTTCTTCGATCATTCGTTACTTGGAACCTTTGACAAGCGATCTGTTTATCGCTCGTTTCGTAGATTGTCACTTCTATGAGACAATCTTCCCATCGTTAGGGGGAGATAAGAACGTCAACATTCCTGAAGAACAACGTGAATTATTTTGGACGACTCCCACTTTGTCTCATTTAGATCCTCGCACCGCTCAGTGTAAAACTGAAGTGCAACGCATCTTAGATCTTCATAGCATAGCTTAGAGTACGCCAAATGCTTTCACCGATCTAGCACAAGTGACAAGATCACATATTCCAGTTGCGAATGAGCCTACAAAGATGGATGTACCAAATGTACGACGGACTTCCCTCCTGGAGGCCCGGGATGCCAACTTTGGTGATCCACGTACATTAGCGACTAGCCAATCATCAGCCCCTACTCATAAGCGTGGTAGACCACTTGGTTCAAAAGATTCACATCCCTGGAAGAGGAAACCAACGGCACAGGCTTCTGAAGAGCCTACCATGAATCCGATTGTCGCTTACTCATTCTATCCAACTCATGAGGAAATTCTAGATTACGAAAGCGTCATTGAAGAGACAAATCCTCCTACTGAGTTTCGTGAAATTTTGGTCTATTATGCTAGCTTAGATGATGTGTCATGTAGAAATAAGATAATCATTGACGATGCATTAACATATGCAATAGCTACTGAGATCATGTTGAGCGATGACATTGAACCCTGTTCCGTTGATAAATGTCGATGTATAACCGATTGGTCAAACTGGAAATAAGTAATCCAAATCGAACTTGATTCACTTGCAAAACGTAAAGTGTTTGGACCTGTAGCTCCTACTTCTCCACATGTGAAGCCCGTTGGCTACAAGTGGGTTTTCGTTCGGAAGCTTAATGAGAAAAACGAAATTGTGTGTTACAAAGCTCGTCTTGTTGCGCAAGGCTTCTCACAGCACCTCGGGATTGACTATGATGAAACTTATTCACCCGTTATGAATGTGATTACTTTTCGCTACCTTATCAGTTTGGTAGTTTCCGAAAAAACTGAGTATGCAGCTGATGAACGTAGTAACTGCGTATCTTTATGGGGATCTTGATACAGAAATTTACAAGAAAGTTCCTGAAGGACTTACATTGACTGGATCAAATATTTCCAAACCCCAGAACACGCTCTCAATTCGACTAAGGCTTTCATTCTACGGTTTGAAGCAATCCAGAAGAATGTGGTATAACCGTCTGAGTGAGTATTTGACTAGTCAGGGATATGTGAACAACGAACTATGCCCTTGTGTGTTCATTAAGAAGTCACATTCCGGTTTTGCGATAGTTGCAGTATATGTTGATAACATGAACCTTTTTGGAACTACTAAAGACCTCGCGAGAACTGTCGTACACCTAAAGTCGGAATTTGAGATGAATGATCTAGGAAAGACTCGATATTGTCACGGTCTCGAGATAGAGCACCATTTGGATGGAATCTTAGTACACCAAACAAACTACACCCAAAAGGTGTTGCGTTGCTTTAACAAGGATAAAGCAAAGCCTTCGAGTTCTCCTATGGTCATTCGATAGCTAGATGCAAAACGAGATCCCTTTCATCCAAAGGAGGAAGATGACAAGATTATGGAGCTTGAAGTTCCTTATCTAAGTGCAATATGTGTTTTATTGTACTTAACTCAATACACTAGACCCGACATCTCCTTCGCTGTTAATCTTTTGGCAAGATACAATAATACACCAACACGCAGACACTGGACTGATGTTAAAGACATCTTCTGCTACATTAAAGGTACTACAGATTTGGGCTTGTTCTATCTCTACGAATCCTTGAGTGATGTTGCACCCCTTAGCCGCTTCTTGAGTCGATTATCGCCTTGTTGGTTATGCCAACGTAGGATACTTGTCTGATTAGCACAAGGCGCGTCCTCAAACGGGTTATGTCTTTACCGTTGGAGGCACAACAATCTCTTGGAGGTCAATTAAACAGACCTCAATTGCCACTTCGTCTAACCATGTTAAAATTCTCGCCTTACATGAAGCAACTTGGGAATGCTTTTGGTTAAGAGCAATCGTGGGCCATATTCGAAGCTCCTGTGATCTTTACCCCGTCATGGATGTCCTAACGACGACCTATGAAGATAACGCATTATGCATCAAACATCTCAAGAAGGGTTACATCAAAGGAACAACACCAAGCACATTGCGTCGAAGTTTTTCTTCTCACATCAACAACAAGAGTATCAGAAGATTGAAGTCACCCAAATCCGTTCACAATACAATCTAGGCAAACTCTTCACTAAATCACTACCGAAGACGACGTTTCAGAAACTTGTTCAAGGAATTGGTATGCGTAAACTTTATGAGTTGTAACATTGCTAGTTCCCTTTCGAATTATGGCAAACTCAATGAGAGTATCCTGAAGAATACTTACTTGATCTTAATGTACTATTTTTCCCTATGATTAGAAGCATTTTTTTCCCACTGGGTTTTGCTACCTAACTAGGTTTTAACGAGGCACCCACCTTAGGTTTTCATATCCCTGATGACGTCCCGTTGACGTTTTTTCTTTTGACTTTGCATTTCTCATGCATCTTTCCTTAAATTATAGATTTTGTCCCTACTTGGGTTTTTGCCATAGCCTTAGGGACTTACTTCCTTATGCAAGTTCCTACCTTATTGAGAATAGCGTTGTTCCCAGAATCAGTGTCAACGAGTCGACTTCCTAAACTTCTACATGATGCTAAATCTACCTTGAGTATTTACACACTCAAGGGGGAGTGTTATGAACTTTCCTAGTTTAAGTATGACTGTGTAAATCATAGATTAGATTCGATTCTAGTTATTCTTTCCTATATGGATTTTTATTCTTTGGGGATGAAGGATTTCTTCTCCCTCTTATTACTATAAATAAAGGTACTACATATGAGGAAATAACATACACATTCCCCTACGATTCTACAAACATATCTCTCCTCTCTTTCTCTCGTTGCCGCCGGCCCCTTCCCCTTAATCAGATAAATTTCAATCAATGGAGTTGAAAAAAGAGGGATGAGAACCTAATTTCTCCTAAATATTATGTAAAAAGTCAACTACTATCAATTACAATCAAATCATATATTTAGCTTCTAATCTATCCCTGACTTTGTGGGATAGAGTTGATGTTGGTAACTTGGCACTTGGTTGTATAAGGTAAGAATAAAATGGCAGAAGCAATGGTAGTTAATTTCACTGGTCATAACCACAGAAGCAAAACTTTCAACAACTCTTAGATTTATTAACATGCGGAAACAATTCCAACGAGATGTGGATCCGAAAAATGCCAATATTATTGGATTGTTGAGCTTGTACGAGATGTTATTTTTATTTAAAAACCATCAATAAAACACTTGCAGTTGACTTAATTACTTAAACCACTTGTGCTAATGTCTTCTTGTTGTTTGCTTCCCAGAACATATCTAACATCAAGCACTCTATACATATAAGGTTTAGATTGCACATGATCAATATATAAACATAGAAACGCTACCCTGGCTATATATCAACAATATTGATTCGCGGCCAGAGCTATACAATATGTACTCAACTAGAGTTGTGTATGGAACTCTTGGCCATAATTTGAGCGTCTCGACTTTGACGTTTCTGAATATACTAATTGCTTGTTGTCGATGGCAAGCTCCCACCATTGACATCCGCTATTCCAGCCGGGGACAGGGGCAGGCGTCGTTGTGCCTTGGTACAGAAACGACGGATGGTAGCAAGTGCCACCTCTTCAGGCTTGTTACATTCCCAATATGGTTTGCATCTGGAGACTACAATTTCCAAGTCCTGGGACATGAGCACAAATGCTTCTACTTTTGTCCGAGTCTTAACATGTTTGCTGGAGACTGGAACTTCGGTGGAACAGTTTGATTCCCAATCGAGAAGTTCTTCCCCGTAAAAGTTACCTTTCCCGAGGGGCTTGATGGACCTTGATGAGATTCCTTGCCCAGCATGACCATCACTCGATGACTCGTAGGTCCACATTGTCCCTTTGATAATGAACAGCATGCAATCGAGTGGATCTCCCATTCGAAAAACGAAGGTGTTCTCACTGTACGTCACTGGCTTCAGATGGTCGCATATCAACGTCAACACTTTTTTATGCTTGTCCTTGAGCTTATTTACCTATACGATAACACATGAGCGTGCGCGCAGACATATATCATCAGAAAAACATTGCAGTGAAAATGGATGGCATTAATAGATGGAGAGAGATCGAGTTTTGAAGAACATACTTTTCTAAGTGTATCCATGAAAAGAAAGCGTTTTATAGATCTTTTGCTTTGCCAAGGAAGAATAAGGAATGGGTTGTGGACATCAGCATCTGGGTATGTTTTCAATGCTTTCTCTATGCTATTCATGATATCGTTCTTGATATCATTAGGGAATTTATTTTCGTCTATCCACATGCGTACATCTAGCTTCTTCAATCTTATCAACCCCCCTTTTTGTCTCATCTCCTCTGTTTTTGTAGCTTCCATCTGCATAAAAGTCTGTCTCGCCACAAATCAAACAATTAATATACTCGAAGAATGATCTCCGCAGTCCCAACTCCCAAACACGGGAAAATTGTTGAAAGTTAAAAGTACAGAGAGATTCAATATACTAACCTGCACGTTTCCGATGAGATATATAAATAGTAGCAAGCCAATGACAGAAATGAGAATCGCAAACAAGTTTTCCCACACATACGTACTTGTTGTCAAATTCGTCCCAAAATTACTGCAAAATATTATAGGTACATGATATCATATTAGACAATGTTACCAAACTAGATAACCCCAAAAATTTTATTCGCTACATATTTTTCTATAAATTGTTGATTGTCAATGGATATGATGTGTACCTTAGATTTTTCAAGCCCCACCAAAAAGAGTACAAGAACTTTTTTCCGAACTTTTGCTCTGGGTTTCGATTCATATGGGAATCAAGAAACATTCCAAAGTTAAATGGAGATATATCACCATTTGGCGTAGGAGTATCCAACGAGCAATGGCCGTCTAGAAGTGTGAAATTTTTTGCAGTAGTACTCTCATTATTATCGCAGTAGAAAGTATTCATACATTCCCGGGTATTTATAGTAAGATCTTTACAAACCTTGTGCCAACACGATGCCTCTCGTTGAATAGAAAAAAAATACCAAAAAGCTCCGAGTACCTAAATCCATAACATGAAAACACAAAACTCTAGATATTAGTCTACCTATGTCAGAATAGAATTAATTAATCTGGAATCTTCTTTGTAATTAACAGAAGGTAATATCAATTGTAATTAATTTAGAATTCCCATCACATGTGGGTTTTCTTAGAGCCTATATACATTGTATGCATTATACATATTTAATTCAAAGAATCGTCACGTATTACTACAGTCTAGTGGTACTATATGACAATTCTCGCCAAAAGCAAATTTAAACTGCATTATTGTTAGTTCATTGTGAGGTTTAGTATACCCCTCTCCTTGATGTAGATAATATTATTTATTTAAAAAAAATATTCAAATAATCATATTTTTACATGGTATTATTCGCCCACCGTAGAATAGCGACCTAACCATGTCATCTTTTTCGCACCCAAAAAAAAAAAAAAAATACTTCGGGTCGTTCTCTTCTTTTAGGACTTTCTCACACCAACAAAAAAATAATAATCAAATCACAGCAGCGTTTACTCCCTTATTGCTGTCTCACTACTATAGTTTTTAGGGTTTTGTCTTGATTCTCCTCTTTTCTTTTTGGCGTCGTCAACCTGTCATGTCTGGCCATCCTCCTTGCCTCAATTCACTTCACAGCAACATCAAGCCTTGTCGCATCCTCCTAGGCTCAACACACCGCAGCTGGCCGTTTAGGTCCTCCATGGTGTTAAACTTGTACCACCTCACAGCATGCCCCAGCCTCCGGCCCATACCCCATAGACCCGACTTTGGCTCCTCCCTTAGTCAGCGCTCACCTTGCTTCCCTGCCTGATCCAAGCTATTATTTTGATACCAGTACCATTCATTATATGATCGGACAATCTTCCATCTTTCATGCTACTCGACTTTAAAATGGCCCAACCAATATTTATTTGGGTAAAGGTGAAACAAAGAATGTTACTCATATTGGGATTTGGATCTCATCGAGATCTAAATTGTGAAGATCCAAGAATTCCTTACATTCTAACTATTTATCGTACATCGTGCCATTAGAAATTATTTTGAATTTTAAATATAAAATTAAGCACGAATAATATCTAACAAAAACTGGCTGCACGATGTACGATGAACGGTTAGGATGCAAAGATCTCCATGATCCTCACAAAGAGAATCCAAAAAGATCCTCATTCCCATATTGGTACCGTTCATCTCACTCTTGGTCCTACTAGATTTCATCTAATGTTTTTCTTATTCCAGAATTTAGGAAAAATCTTCTCATTGTTGCTCGCTTTTATTCAAGAAAGTCTCGTCTTTTTTGTTTTTGCTTCAAATTTCTATCAAATCTTTTTCAAAACTTATTTTAAATCACTATTAATTAAGAATTAGTTTAAATACAAATTATTCATTGAGCTGTTTATACTACATTTTTATGTGTTTTTATCCTTACATCTGCAGGTGATAAAAATTCTATCATGAGAATCTATTAGGCATAGAGAGAATGTATGATTAATGGAGAAGATGAAGAGTCCAGAGAAGGTTGATTAATTGATACAGAGTCCTGGATCATTAAAGACTTAGCCAGATAAACACCCAGACTAAGGTATTTATAGAGATCTTCAGAGTCATTGTAGAGAAAGTAATCCCAATTAAATTGGGAGACTATCTAGTAGAGAATCTAGGATAAGATATCTAATTCTCCTAAGATTATAATTACATTACCTAATCCCCAAGATATCCTAATTTGATTTGAATTAAGGTTTCCTTACTTGGGACAAAAGTAAAATCTTCGATGGGCTTAAATCTAGCATGTCGGATTAAGGCTATCGGACTATGCATCATGGGCTATGGACATTCCGGCTCTTCTTTCCACGAAGGTGCCATGTATCATAGTCCTAGAAGAGCTAAAAAGGGTATGTATTTATCACTTTCCTTGCATACTGTCTAAAACAAAAATAAGTATTTTTTTCAAACAAATATTAGTATTTTTTTTTTAAGATTATATTAAAGAGGGACCTATTTAAAATCATCTTTTTTTTTTCAATATTGTCGCTTAGTTCATGAGTTTCCCTTGCACTACTGATATGATTGTTGCCAAACTGATTCACCGTTGTATTAAAGTACCATGGATTTGGCATCACTTTGACCCCTTAACTTACTTCTGATCTGCTTATTCTAATGCTAATTGGGCATGTTGTATAGACACTAAGACTTCATTCATCTCAATGTGAAAGCAAATCGGGCCAAGCTGATTGGTATGAACCAACTAAGAAGGGGTTCGTTCTGTTGTCGCTCCACCATTGGCTACATTATTTATCTTTACACAAATCTCATCTTTTGGTGCTCTAAAAAGCAACTGACAATGTCCCTATCTGGCGCTGACTTTGAATCTAGGTCCCTTGCTCATGCATGTGCTTAAGACTATATGGCTTTATTTCCTTCTTCGTGAGCTTGGGGTTCGACTATACTTTCCAATTCTACTTCATTGTGACAACCTCAATACGACTTGTTCTGCTACTAATTCAGTTCATCATGCTCCTACTCACCATATGGAACTTGATTATCATTTTGTTTGTCGTGGCTCTTGGTAGTCATCGCATTTGTTGCATATCATTTTACTAAATCTCTTTATCATTTTACATGATTAATTTAGAATTCTTACTCAAACCCTATATATTATAAACATTGTACATGATTAATTTAAAGAGTCATATTCCTACACTATCATTTTCACAAAAAAAAAAACTGCATGATCCATAATCCAATATTGGTAATTAACAAAGTATTAAAATAGAATGACAATTGAAATGAAACTTACATGACTAGCAAGAATGTAGAGAAACACGTTGAACAGACCCTTAGCCCATATTCCATTCGTCCTTTTGAATACCTTGGCCGATAGGTGAATTCGAGAAATCCTCGGAAGATATTGACCAAGAAGAAACACATTCACAAACTTTTTGTTTTCTATAAATCCTGAGCCTTTCATTGGGTAAAACATTAGTATAAGCAGCTGCAGGAAATAAACCAGGGTTAGAACATAGAAGTCCATCAATTTCAGCTAGCAGATAAAAAAGAAAAATTAAGAAGAAGAAGACTTCAGCTAGCAGATAAAAAAAAAATTTAAGAAGAAGAAGAAAAGAAAAAAAAAAATTAGAGTTTAGTTAATTTTTCTTACTTGTGGGAGGGGAAGAAGAGCTAAAACGTCAATTATGATGGATAACCACGACATATTCTGAGCTATTTTCCTGGCATGTTGAATCAACTCTCTGTCTTCCCATTTCTTACTGGAATTTCCCCTGGTTTGTTCCACCGCCGCAGAGGATCCATTTTTCCGGGTATTCGTTTTGGAGGTTGGCACAGCCACACAAGTCCCCGACTTTTTGTCCATTGTCTTTTGAACAGAGTCACAAATTTCACATATCAAATGCACCAGGAAAATGACATCCGTGAGTGATCGCATAACAAGAGCAACAATTTTCAACGTTTTGTCCGTTTGAAGGCACTTTTGTTTCTGATCGATGTTCACAACGTAAAAGAACAAAGGATCCAGAGAGACAGCAAATACACATGAGATCACAATTATACTGTTCCACATTTGAAGGTAAGGCCCCTGATGCACATCACATATCTCCTTTATTTTTATTGTCCAATTTTTTCCTTCGTTTTTCGGTTTTTGGGCACTCGTTCCAGTTCTAGCCATTGATTTTCTGGGAAACAAGCAACAAACAACAACTGAAATTCATATGCATTCACCCTAAACCCTAATATGAGCCCCTCGAGCTAACAAATTAAACAAGACAAAATCAAATATAAATCTGATTCTAACAGCAGCTATTAGGTATATTTCAGACAGTCTTCACCAAAACAAGTATCCGTCTCAAAAATATTATAGCCTAGTACGGCTTTAACCAAAAACGTCTCGAAAATATTGCGGGAATACTAAAATATGGGATCGGGTCGAAAAAAGGACGTATCCCAGCACACTTGGGCTGGCTGCAGTAAATGGGTCAAGGCCCTGCAGCAAAGCTGCGGACTTGTTGGGCCTCGGAGATATTGGCTGCAAGGCAGTTTAGGTGGCATTTTCAATGGGTAATGTTTTCATGTATCTTGATCTTTTAAATATCTTCCCTTATTTTAAGCGTACCTGATTGGCAGAAAACAGCAAAAACCGTTGAATTTGTAGAAAATCCTTCTTGGAAAGTCAGAATTGCATCTTCAATATGCATTGTATCACGTTCAACATAGAAAAATTAAATTGAATCAATAACATGTAGATCAATTTAATTAAAATAATAAGTTAATCATAAAAAGAGTGATTAAAACGTAATATTCCCTTGATAAAAGAACAACCTTTCTGTAGCGCATCGTTAAGAGCGTGCTGATAACGTGTTGTAGACTTAATTTAAGGTATCATTATAAAGGATAGAAAGCGAGAGGTGCGGCAGCACAAAGAGAAGAGATAGATGTGTTATTCTACTTCATTGTGCCTTTACTATAGTAGTAGGAAAAGTAAGTTTCTTACTCCAATAAGATTACAACTCTAATAGGATAATATCTAGCCTAAAATATATGACAGAATCTACTAAGTATATCTCATATATGATAAGATTTACAGGATCACATTCCTAAATAAATATGACTGCTACATAGTAATAATTTAACAATAAATTTACAAAATTAACTACAATACTTATATATATTTAATAGAACTACTATGTAATGATCAAATATAATTCAAGTGAATGGTTGAAGACCACCACAAGAAGTCTAAATGAAATCAGGTTACTACCAAAATATTTTAGAAATTTTCACTATACACCACAAAATAGAAAAACTACTTTATTTAAAAAGGCCAAATCTCACTTTGATATTCTAGATGATAAATATATATATTGCTATTTGTCAAATTTCCGTCCCGAATTTGTATAGAGCTTTCAATTTTCTCCTAAACTTTAATTTTAGCCAATTTTCCTGGTCCTTCCCGAGATGTTAAATATTGAAATTTCCATGCAATTTTCTATCTATTTTGGTCATATGACAAAATGTTTGAGGGTAATAAAGTAATTTTACCCTTTATGTGGACAACGTTTTTTTTTCTTTTCTTCTCTTTCTTCTTTTTTCCTAGTTGACTTCGTACACTTTTTGTTTGAATTAGTTTTAGCAGTTACAAAGTATTGGCTTTGCGCCCAATTTACCAAAACAAAATTACAGTTTTGCCCTTATACAATTGTCATGTGTTATTCGTGACCAAGATCGATGAAAATTTTCAAAATCTAACGTCAGGGGGTAAGTGACTATTTATAAAAAGTTTAAGGGATAAACGGCCAAAATTAAAACTCAGGAGAGAAATTGACAACTCTATACAAGTTCAAACAAATCAATAACTAGGTCATATATGTTTGAAAGGAAACGATTTCATTAGAACTTCAAATCAAGTAAAGCTATCTTGAAGTAGGGCATCTGAAGAAACGCATGAGGGACCTCACTCCAAAGTAATATTACATATGATTCATTATACATTTGTAGTCAATCCATAAATTAGTATAAGTAAGAGTTTGTCTTAGCTTTTTGTTTAAGAAATAGTCAGTGCTTAATTTACAAAATAGTGACAGTACTAGTTTACGAAACAGTGATCATACCAGTGTTTGGTTTGAAAAATAGTCAGTATTTAGTTTACGAAATAGTGATAGTACTATTACTTGGTTTAATATATATAGTCTATTGTGTTCGGTTTAAGAAATAGTCAGTGTTTAGTTTACGAAATAGTAATAGTACTAGCGTTCGGTCTAAAAAATAATCAGTCTTCAGTTTATGAAATAGTCAGTGTTTAGTTCAAGAAGTAATGATAGTATTAGTGTTCCGTTGAAGATATAGTTAGTGTTTAGTTTAAGAAATACTATTCAGTTTAAGAAGTAGTCAATGTTTAGTTTACAAAATAGTGTTTGGTTTAAGAAGTAGTTAATGTTCAGTTTAAGAAGTAGTCAATATTCAATTTAAGAAATAGTCACAGTATTAATGTTCATAAAACTAAATAATGAAAATTTTCTTTATTTTTGATTTTGTAATATTATTACTTAGTTTGTTCTAAAACAATTGAAAGAATAATCAAATAAAAAAATAATAAAATAAAAATAAAATGTTTATGGAGTGAGGTGAAAGGAGAGAGAAGAGTGGGGAGAGGTGAAAAAATAAAAAATAAAATAAAAAAGAGAAAAAATTGATGTGGATGGGTGAGGTGAAAGGAGAGAGAAAAATGGATGTACGAAAGAGGGAGAGAGAGAAAGAGGTTGCACGATTAAGTGAGGAAGAGAGAGTGTGTGTGTGTGATGTGACGCGTGGTCCCGTGCGTCAGTATATGTTTTTTTTTGTGTTTTTGTGTTTTGTTGTTATGTAAAACTTTTGTCATTTTTATTAAAATTTGAGTCCTTTTTATTAAAGTTTAACTCTTTTTTATTAAATAAAGTCAGTAGATGGTTTTTTGTTAATCAAAAGTTTTGAGAAGTCATTTTCATTAAAGTTTCCTTAATAAAACCCTCTTTGTCAACAAAAAGAAGGTGAAAAAACTACTTCATCTTGTATCACACAAAAAAAATGATGGACAATAATATAATTTCACAGGTTCAAATTTTACTTTTTTTTATTGAAACCTCATCTACCGGTGATGTTCAAATACCTTCAATATTTAAAATAAAAAAATAAAAAACCAAAAACAAAAATCTCCCACTCCCCCGCCCCCCCCCCCCCTCCTCCTTCTCATTTTCTAAAAAAAATGTATTCATACACACAAAGTGTGTAGGCAAATGTTAGTATATATTTAATAGAATTACTATCTAATGATCAAATATAATTCATGTGAACAGTTGTAGACCACCACAAGAAATCTAAATGAAATCAGACTACTACCAAAATATTTTAGAAATTTTCACTGTACACAACAAATACAAAAACTACTTTTTTTTTTTTTTTTTTTTTTTTTTTTAAGGCCAAATCTCACTTTGATATTCTAGATGATAAATCTACATATTGCTATTTGTCAATTTTCCGTCCCGAATTTGTGTTGAGCTTCCAATTTTCTCTTAAATTTTAATTCTAGCCAATTTTCTCCTACCCCAGGACATTAATTATTGGAATTTTCATGTAATTTTCTATCTATTTTGGTCATATGGCAAATGATTGAGGGTAATAAAGTAATTTTATCATTCATGTGGACAACAAATTATTTTCTTCTTCTTCTCTTCCACTAGTTGACTCCGTACACTTTATGTTTGAATTATTCATGGAAGTTTAATTAGCAGTTACAAAGTATTGGCTTTGCACCCAATTTAACAAAACAAGAATACGTTTTTGCCCTTATATAGTTGGCATAGGTTATCCGCGTGACTAATTGAAAAATTAGTTGAAAATTTTCAAAATCTAACACCAAAGGAAAATTGACTATTTATAAAAGTTCAAGAGATAATCAGCTAATATTAAAACTCAATGAAGAAATTGGCGCTACACAAGTTCGCATAAATCAACAATTAGGTCATATATGTATATATATTTCTTTTCTGAAAGGAAACGATTTCATTAGAACTTCAAATCAAGTAAAGCTAACTTGAAGGAGGGCATCCTGAAGAAATGCAGGAGGGACCTCACTCCAAAGTAATATCATATATGATTCTGTGTATATTTGTAGCCAATCCCATAAATTAGTATAAGAGTGAGTTTGTCTACGTTAAATGTGACGCAACGTTTCCTTGGAGGAATGGTTATGAACAGGTCACTGTGTCTATGTCTGTAGAAAGAAGTTTGTCTTTGTTAAAAGTTTTCACTGAAGTCAACTCCTCGCGTCTTTAAAGTCTGAATAGTGAATCAAATTGGCTGCCATATGCAACTTTGATGCCAGCTACTGCCTCTCATCCGATTAGATGAGTTCCGTAGCCTCGCTGCCGGTGCCACTATGTTGTATTGGGCGTTTTAAAATTAAAAAATAAAGGAATAGAAAGTGTTGTAATAACCATATATAATCAAGTGTAGCGTTCCAAATAACATAAATTTCGTACATATTTTGGGACTCTCCGTGGATTTTCAACGCTTTATCATTCCCATCGCTGCGCCATGATGCGCTGCTATGCCTTGAGAGTGACAAATAACAGCAAGCTAAGATAATTCGAAATACTGAGAGAGAGAGAGAGAGAGAGAGAGATTACGAACCTGTCCATTACTGCCTGGTTCTCCATATCTAGATCCATAATAACTTAAATATATATGGACTCAATGACCTTGATGATGAGTAATAAAGATTACCTAATAAATAGCTACGACGAGGTTTTCAGTTTACTAGGTGGAGAGAGACTAGCATGCAGAGAGCTAGCATTTGGGTTGAGTGGCGGAAGCTGAAGCTGAAGCTGCTAGCTGCATCACCATTCTATTTAATAAAATTCAAGTTTGTCTTTTTATATGACGTAGGTTTTTAATATGACGTAAGTCATTTTATAATATACACTTCACTTGAAAGTGAGAGGTATTAGATTCGAAGCTCTTGAATGGCGAATTCGATACCAAATTAGGTTGCCCATTATGTGGCTTAACCAAACTCCCCATCCTCTTCGTGTAAAAATATCGATGTATTAAAAAAAATAATTTAGTGGATAGGATCCACCAACACATTTGAGACTCACTTTTATTAGATTATCTCCAATCTTTGGGTTAAAACCTAAAA